ATTGCTCAACAATTATTCATGAACAAGGGAATAGCGATCGCACTAAACAAAAGGGGCAAATGAGATAATTGTTAGGAAGGTGTATCGAACGTAATGTAATCATCATATTGGTTAGCAACGAGCCTTTATGTATTGTATGCATATGCGACACAGGAGAGACGTCTCGACAATACCTTGTTATCGCCATGGCTCCCTGTGTACAATATGCACTTTGTGCATGATAACACGATTACACCATGTGGGCGACGTAATACAAAGTACGGAGGGCAATGTATTGTTTAAACGACTAAAAAGAAATTAACAAGTGATTGACATTAAATCATTTTAAATGAAAGTTAGTTGGATGGTATAGCACAACTTTCTATTGCTCCTTACTTAATTTTTATATACTATTTTTATTTTTATTTTTAGTTACTATTTTATTTACTTTACCACTTTATTTTAACAATTGTTCATTGATTTCTAGACTTGTACTATTCTTTATGTGCACTTGGTTTCTCTTTTATGTGAACCATAATCTATAATAGAAGTTTACACAAAGTTTAATTAGTACTGCCACAATGTTTAATTATACATAATCATTAGTACTGCTCCTTCCCTTTAATTAATGTGACCTACTTTTCTTTTTTGCAACTTTCAAGATATTTCAAAATTGTTCGATATGTTCATATTTGATGTAAAAATTGTGTATTTTAATAATTGTGAAGTACATTATTATAAAGTTAAAGATAAACAATGTTTACGAATGCGCAGACGCGAGGATACTTCCTGAATATTCCGGATACCTCTTCGTTTTCCTGCGATCCTGCTACCAGGAGTAGCTTCAAAACACCAAACGCTAGATGGAGATAGCGGTAGTTTTTGCAACAACGCTATTACCTATCGATCTTTCGGAACGAACGGTGATCGAATTTTAATTTTATCGATAGTTTCAGAAATGAAAAATTAACGCATTACCGACCGATCTCGGAGACTTTATTTTGGAGTACGTCGCTGCATCAGTTGCAGAGATGTACTCGGTATGAATTTATTTTGCATAATTATCTTGTGCATTATACAATACTCTATTTACATGTCACGCATATATTATACATAACAGCAGTAAGAATTAAAAATACACAACCAGCTTGAAATAATCAATTTTATGTGTAAAGTATTATAATGAAAATATCGGTATGACATTTTTTAAATGTTATGGTATATATTTATTTTCTGTGTTTTATCTATAATGTTAATATTATATACTCTGGTTTACATGGTATGCTTTGCTATACTTATTCCTACAATAATTTACTTTCATCGGGCTAACGTAATTTATGGGAGAATACATATAATCTGTGAACGTACGTTATACACATGCAAAGATATTGGCTTTCCAGATTATCGGAAGTATCTGAAAGTTCGAAATTAATCTTAGAGAATGCCACGGTTTCTATTAAGAAAACTTTGTTATACCCTTTACATTATGAAAATACATTGTTCGTTGAATTTGCAAAGTAGAATTTGCTTTAACGTTAAAGCAAAAGCTTGAAAGCATTTCTTGCTTACATCCCAGAAATCTCATTCAGTCTCATTTTTCACTAACAAACATTTTACGAAAATGAACACAGAAACTCGATTAAGAGTTCGAAAGTTTCAAAGAAATGCACACTTTCTGCAAGTCTTCGTTTCTGTTCGCTTATCCCGATTTTGCGGCAAATCGGAGCTCACGCGGTCAAATTCGCATCGTTCATTGTTCGGTCAAAAATAAATGGTAAAGTCATTCACGAAGATCTTGAGGCCATCGTTAAACCATTCACGATTTGCAAGTGCACAGAAAGAAACGAATTGATCGGAAAACAGTCGGGTTAACGTTCATGGAAGACGAGATTACTTTCAGAGAAACGCGCGATAGGGTCACGAACAACGGCGCAGGTTCCACGACGATCTCCTTCCACCAGGAAAAGCCCGCCGAAGTCGACCGCCCCACCGTGGACACCCCCACCTTCTAATTCACAGTGTTCACCGCGAAAACCGACCGCATTTCGTCTCCAGTTTTCGCAAAGCGTGTTAGCACCAAAACGCAACCGTCCACGCGTTACCGTCTTCCGCATTAAAATCTTCGTGAAGCGTTTAAATTTCTTCGATCTCATAATTCACGGCTAATCTTTCAGCGACAAAGAGTCATAATTCAAATGCAAAAGATGGACAGATTAACGGAACCGAAGGAATCGAATTAAAGAGACAGCGAAACCGGTTCACTGTTTTTTAGGTCGTTGCACAACCGAGTCGGCCAAGGTTCGCTGACAGAAACGCTGACGAATAATTTGATCGTTACTGTCTCGAATGGATGATCCGGAAACAAACGGAATTTACAAACGGAACGAAATCGTACGCGCTTGTTACTAGGGAATCAAGAAACTGAATCCTTTGATCCCGCTGTCGATAGCCGAACGTCGAGCACAGCTGACCAAATATACCGTTTGTCCGCGTACACTTCTGTTTGCGTGTTTTGTGAGAAAATTGCATGAACCCGTGTTTTTTCAAAAAGCCAGCATTGTAGTATTTGTGACACCGGCAATTAATTGTGCTCAGGGACTCTGGAAGTGTCAGACTTTGATTAAGCTCTCTCGTATCCTTGGTGACCATGCTGCAAGACGAAACTATGTTGAAGCTTTTAAGCTCGATGCAATTGAAACTTTGCTTAGAATTCGAGCGCCACAGCTCGTTGTAATTATCAACATCTTAAATTTGGTACCGTCTCGCTCTTCCCCTTTTGGTCATCAATTTCCGTGACACATATCGACCGGTTCGTTTGATATCGAGAGTTACCCCTTTGACAGTTCTTGAAAGCATGCGAGGAAATTATATAGCGCGATCAAGTTCTTGAATGAAAGATCACAGAAAATAGCCTTTTGAGTTAAAATGCATAATGTCAGAGTAATCAAGAATTAAAGAGGATTGAGTGCTATTGTTGGTGCAGTAAACCGATTTCTAAGGGAACATTGCTGAAGTACTTTAAGAGCAATCTCTGAATGTTTTGAAGAATTCACTCGGCCGTTTGGTGAGTAGTATTTGTTGCATAACCTCTTGTACCGCTAGTTATAAAATCCATAACTTTTCGATGACTATTACATTAAGAGTACTTTAGTTCCCAAAATTGAATTGTTAGAGCATTCAGTTGTACAAGAACTTAACAAGAGCTTGTTAATAATAGAACTACCGGTTTGACATATCAGAATTCGGAAACTGAAAGATTTGTAAAGGGAATTTGGGAACTTGTAGTTTCAGAAATTGTGTAATTTTGTAATTTTGGAACTTGGTGATTTTAAAATTTGAGAAATATAAAAATTTGGTAATTTCTTAATAGTTCAATTCTTACGTTTAAAATTTTCGAACGCAGTAATGTGAAATATATTTGTAAAATGTTATTTCAATATGAGGTGCCCCAATTTGTTTTCACAGAACAGTGCTGGTATACTTTACAAGTAAAAATTATACTTTACGTATAAAAATGCTTGATTAAAAAAATTGTACCAGAAATCTCTTCATCGAAGTGCATCTACAAAAACTAACCTAACCTACCCCAATTTGATGCATTAATGTGCAACCCATCTAAGGTGATACAAAACAAGTTGGAAGGAGTAGGACTTTGTCTAAACTGACAATGAATAATTACCCCATTACTTAAGCATTATCTCAGCTAATTAACAAATGCACCAAAAAAACTTTTGCTAAGAGTACTTAGTAAAGTGTTTTCGTATCATTCGATATCACTATAAATAAAATAATATGTACTTAATGATATTTGCACATCTCATACTTTGTATTATTAATTTCGTGTCGATGAAAACATAGTCTAATAAACGTTAATTTTTATATAATATAAACATTTGAAATTTGAAATCGCTGATGAAAAATTGATTTTGTCGCACGTAGTTCGTTATCGCACACTGCAGGTCTGAATAAAAACATCCCATTTTTTCAGTCGACAGCGTAGATTCCGCGAGTAAAATACGAAACGCTCGTGCCATGAATCTCGGATACGAAAAATATGATCTTAGAAATTCTTATAAAGGAAATAGCTTCTCCAGATACGGTACCGGAATTTACGGCTTTCCAATTATATCCATTTGTCTTTTGTGACTTTCATTTTATGTCATATCCTTCACGAAGAACATCGAAAGGATCCATATAAAGAATAATACAAACAATGTTCTTGTTTTAATGCAATTATGTCAATAAAGTAAAATAATGGTAACATGTATTTATTCCGATGAAGTTGAGTAATAAAATAGTAAACAAAATTCATAAAATTAACGAAAATGAAGTGAAATTCTGTAATTTTGATGCGTGATATTATTTTGATGCTTCATGTCATACTTTCACGATAATCGCAGACTAATGAGAAGTGCGAAAAAAGGGGAAAATAAAGAGAAGTCAAACGATTTTGCATTTTATCGATAGCATAATCAAATATTGAAATACAAAAAGGTTACTGCTTTCTCACCCAAAGTTTTAAGTTTCTGGGCTTCCTTGCGAGAGATTCTTACAACACACTTAAGAGTACCTTCAAAGGAAAAAAAATGTTAACTTTTACTTGAAATGATGTAGGAAAAATTGTAGAAAATAGTTGCAAATATGAAAACACAATAGAAATTCATCTTCAGGTTTTAATCGACAAACGTGTATTATTATGAAACGCTCATAAACACGTTTAATAACATATTTTACATTCATTGATATATTCGATTACCTATCTCCCTCAGGAGCTTTTAAACGCTACAAAATAATGATACTTCACATTAGTTGGCATTTAGCGTCAAACGGAAGCTCAACTACTAATTATTTTATGTTTACATGATTAAATTTTTTACCTTTTGCATAATATTGCAGTGTGCATATCTACTCTAGAATATATGTCCGAAAATTTTTTCGAACATTAAAAATAATTGCTACGTGATTGTAAAAAATCCAAATATTTCAGCACAATTTGCTGATAATAATATAACTTAACTCACGTTTTTGAAGTCAGGATACATCGAAGTCTTGATCGAAGTTGTGGCAAAACGTGCGAAACAAAAGATTTACTTCATTCCAAACGACCTTCGCGCGTTGTTTTTCGGACAAATGTTTATAAACCAAGATTACAATGCAATTCAATATGACAGGGATCCTCATTTTCGAAGTACATCGTTTCAAAATGACGTGGTTTCCATTCCACGAGACTGCATGAAATCTTTAAACGTTTCGAATCTGTTAGAAAAGGACAATTACAATTACAGCATAATTTTGGTAAATTAAAGGAAGTGTGGCTAAATTATATTGTAATCTGTCAAGTAATAAAATGTAGTGAAATTCCATAGAATTCAGAAACAGTCATCTTCTGTTACCATTGCATAACATTCTTCACCATAACGAAGATTAATGAAGAATATTGGTCATAATAAAAAGTAAAATCACCTGCCCTTTATAATCGATTAAGGTTATAAATTAGATAACACATAATTACGCAATAATACGCATTAGTATCTTATCGTTGCGGGTTCTTAAAAGCAAATGTTTTTTATTCAAATGAAGCTTAATGTTTCGTGTGATCCACATATTTAATTCACGTTTAACGTGCGTTTAGCTCGTAATTAAAAAATTGTTTCTTTTAAATGTAGTTGTTTGAAACAGTCAGTTTACAAGTTTGCTCGGTGAAGGGCATTACTTTACTTTGTAGCAAAGAAATTTTCTTAGTACATATACATCAAAGACGTTTTTGATGCAAACTCGATTACTTACTCCGTTAATTAAAATAAATTGATTTATTTCATGCTGAAGTATACAATATTAAAGCACCGAATTTTAAAAGCAGGAAGTCGGACGTAACTTGATGATGAAGTACGCCTAAATTCATTATGAATGAGCTAGAACTAAAAAAGCACTAGATTGAATAGACAACATTTAAAAAACAGATATCTATTATTTAGAGAAGTTATTAAGGCAAATAAATTAAGCAATTTTCTATAATTCGTAAACATTGTTTATCTTTAACTTTATAATAATGTACTTCACAATTATTAAAATACACAATTTTTACATCAAATATGAACATATCGAACAATTTTGAAATATCTTGAAAGTTGCAAAAAAGAAAAGTAGGTCACATTAATTAAAGGGAAGGAGCAGTACTAATGATTATGTATAATTAAACATTGTGGCAGTACTAATTAAACTTTGTGTAAACTTCTATTATAGATTATGGTTCACATAAAAGAGAAACCAAGTGCACATAAAGAATAGTACAAGTCTAGAAATCAATGAACAATTGTTAAAATAAAGTGGTAAAGTAAATAAAATAGTAACTAAAAATAAAAATAAAAATAGTATATAAAAATTAAGTAAGGAGCAATAGAAAGTTGTGCTATACCATCCAACTAACTTTCATTTAAAATGATTTAATGTCAATCACTTGTTAATTTCTTTTTAGTCGTTTAAACAATACATTGCCCTCCGTACTTTGTATTACGTCGCCCACATGGTGTAATCGTGTTATCATGCACAAAGTGCATATTGTACACAGGGAGCCATGGCGATAACAAGGTATTGTCGAGACGTCTCTCCTGTGTCGCATATGCATACAATACATAAAGGCTCGTTGCTAACCAATATGATGATTACATTACGTTCGATACACCTTCCTAACAATTATCTCATTTGCCCCTTTTGTTTAGTGCGATCGCTATTCCCTTGTTCATGAATAATTGTTGAGCAATTTCAGAAAAAGAGGTTCGTTGTATACGTATATACCATTATTGATTAATGTTTTACATTACCTAATATTATATATTCGTACGTATATAACTTAGTGTTAAAATATCTGGAAATTCGGGTGTTCATCTTGAAATAAAATACTATGACATATTTATATTACTTATCATTCGTAAAAAATTCTGTCGATAACATTAAAATTCGATCATCGCCATCTAGCGTTTGGTGTTTTGTAGCCGCTCCTGGTAGCAGGATCGCAGGAAAGCGAAGAGGTATCCGGAGATTCAGGAGGTATCCGCACGTCTGCGCGCATGCGCAGTACAACCAAGTTCGCGCCGCCTCTACAACATGGCGTCTCACAAAATAAATTAAATTAATGGTGTAGAAACACTAATTACTCGTTATTGACGTACAATTTATTTACTTTTATCATCGTAACATGATCTACAATTTATAATCTATTTTCTCACACAATATTTGGTATGATTTTATTTGAAGGTAATTATTTATTAATAATTGTCACTAAGGACGATATTACTACGAGAGTGTATTAATGAATTTTATACGAGAATGTTAGAATTGAATTGTTCATTTTTCAATTATAAAAGTGTATAAAGGGTGTTGAGAAAGCCAGTGGTTAATCTATATGATTCACTATTAATTCATTTAAAATGATTTAATGTCAATCACTTGTTAATTTCTTTTTAGTCGTTTAAACAATACATTGCCCTCCGTACTTTGTATTACGTCGCCCACATGGTGTAATCGTGTTATCATGCACAAAGTGCATATTGTACACAGGGAGCCATGGCGATAACAAGGTATTGTCGAGACGTCTCTCCTGTGTCGCATATGCATACAATACATAAAGGCTCGTTGCTAACCAATATGATGATTACATTACGTTCGATACACCTTCCTAACAATTATCTCATTTGCCCCTTTTGTTTAGTGCGATCGCTATTCCCTTGTTCATGAATAATTGTTGAGCAATTTCAGAAAAAGAGGTTCGTTGTATACGTATATACCATTATTGATTAATGTTTTACATTACCTAATATTATATATTCGTACGTATATAACTTAGTGTTAAAATATCTGGAAATTCGGGTGTTCATCTTGAAATAAAATACTATGACATATTTATATTACTTATCATTCGTAAAAAATTCTGTCGATAACATTAAAATTCGATCATCGCCATCTAGCGTTTGGTGTTTTGTAGCCGCTCCTGGTAGCAGGATCGCAGGAAAGCGAAGAGGTATCCGGAGATTCAGGAGGTATCCGCACGTCTGCGCGCATGCGCAGTACAACCAAGTTCGCGCCGCCTCTACAACATGGCGTCTCACAAAATAAATTAAATTAATGGTGTAGAAACACTAATTACTCGTTATTGACGTACAATTTATTTACTTTTATCATCGTAACATGATCTACAATTTATAATCTATTTTCTCACACAATATTTGGTATGATTTTATTTGAAGGTAATTATTTATTAATAATTGTCACTAAGGACGATATTACTACGAGAGTGTATTAATGAATTTTATACGAGAATGTTAGAATTGAATTGTTCATTTTTCAATTATAAAAGTGTATAAAGGGTGTTGAGAAAGCCAGTGGTTAATCTATATGATTCACTATTAATTCAGTTTATTCTATTGGACGCCATGTTAGAGGTGGCGCGAGTTTGGTTCTATTACGCATGCGCGCCGATGTGCGGAACACCTAATACTCCGGATACCTCCTCGCTTTTCTGCGATCCTGCTAGCAGGAGCAGCCTCAAAACACCACCCGCTAGATAGCGCTGATCGAATTTTAATGTTATCGACCTATTTTTTACGAATGACACATAGTATAGGTATTATTATTTTGAAGCGTTTTATCACAAAAATGTTCTCTACTATCAATGAGAAAAAAACGCACGCAGTTTAATTCCCTCGAAATGAAAAAGAATAATTAGTTCAATTTTTTCGCCAAACGTTCGATTGAATACTACGCAAATAACGATCGTCAAAGGTACAAAAGTTGTAGTTAGAAACTCAATCGCACAACATATAGTTTGAACCTAGCACACATTGACCATCGCCGCTATTGAAATTTGCGGAATTCTTCCATAAAAAAATTCGTCGACCTCAACTGACGATCGAAAATGTTTGCCGAATACTACACATCAAATATCCGAACATGCTTGTTCATCCGTAGGTACAGTACAGGAAATTTTCGTTTAGTTGAATAAAACAGATGCAAATAAATAGCATAGATAAAAGAAGCTGCACATACCATATTTTATTATACTATTTTGTATTTATAAAAAAGATGTTTACACGAGAATAACTGTTAGCAATTGCATTTGCAGTTGTTTGTACCTTTTATATATCTTATCAATAAATAACATCTTGTTGAATAAAAACACTATTTTTCTCAAAAATGTAATACTGGCATTTATAAAATTATTTATTTGAGCCCTTTATTTGTCAAGTTTTATACTTGACCTAATATCTCAGTTTTACATAAAAAGTTAATGCAATTATTTTTGTCGGAACTATAAATTGATACGCACAAGGGTCTTTTCGCGGTGCTTTTATGTCATCGAATACATGTTTCGAATTCTGTATCTACATATGCAAAGTTCTCACATTTACATGCAAAGTTTAGTATCATTCGACCAGGGAATAGTATAAAGAATTCACCTCCGAGCATATTTTTTCTCTTTTTCGTTCTAATGTGCAAATTTTCATAAATTCGATAAAATTCACACTTAACCGGATTACGATAATCGGAAATTGGAGAAAATGGAGAACAATAAAAAGGCACAGAAGATTTCAGCCGTCTTATAACCATGATAATACTTTATCAAACAGTTTTTCCTACACTTGACCATAGTGATTCCATTAATTTTTTCTCGCGGTTCTATCGGAAATCTGAAATAAAAAGAACACTGGAGTCAAGGAGTGGTTAACAAATGATTCCACGGACGTTCGATTTTTAAGATTTCTTTTTAAAGATCTATCCAATCTTCTTCAAACAGTGTAAAAAAGCTTCTCTCTAAAGAAGCTTAGGTCTAAGAAATAAAAATAGATACTGCACTTTCTCAACTTGATTATTTTGAAGTTCAGAAATTTTGGAATTTGATAACCTGGTAATCTGAAAATTTAAATGTCTAGTAATAAAAATTCCGAAAAATTTAGTTCAATTCTCGAATCCATTCTCCATATAATTGACCTCCATTTTCGTGGACAATGCAATTTGCACATATACTCCATATAAAACCGTGAATGGATTTTAGAAAATGTTTACTCCCCTTTTATCTCTGGAATTATTGGAAATTGCCCACAAAAGAAAGTCCGCCTCTCGAAAGCAGCAATATGAAGTTCTATGAATAAATCATTACTTCTCCAACTTGACACTTAACGATCTCGCTTTATTCTTTGTTCGCAATGAAATTTTTCTCGCTTGTTTGTTTGCTCTTTGCCGGCTTTCATATTGCGACTTTACTTTTAAAAGCTGAGACAATGCGACGCGATGCATAAATAATTGCGAAGTATTAGCACTTTGGTTATCGAATAAAATATCTATTTTAATTAATATTAATAAAAATTGATATTAATACATTAATAATAGAAATATATTATTTCTGATCTATTGCAGGTGGGCATCATCATCATGAATCATTCCTGGTTCGAAGAAGGCTATAAGTTTAGAAATTCCGTAATATTTACATCGAACGATACGTTCCAGTTTTACCAAAATATTACAGTGTACGAAAACTTTGGTACGAAACATAATTACTACAGATTAAGTTGATCTTAAGTCAATATTATTATAATCCATTTATCTGTAATTACGCTTTTATTAATAATTATCGACATAAAACACGATTTGTTTCTGTTCCAAAGTATTATCAAAATATTACAGTGTACGAAAACTTTGGTACGAAACATAATTTCTACTGATTAGGTTGATTTTAAGTCAATATTGTTATAGTCCAGCAATCTGTAATTACGGTTTTATTAATATTTGCCGACATGAAACACAGTTTGTTTCTGCTGCAAAATTCCGGGATTAAATTAACAGTTTATCAAAATATTGCTCTGTTAAATATTTGTTGTAGTTGAATATCTTTTGATCGCGAATTAAACGCTTTACAAGTTGATTTTACCCGCATTTTATACCTGTAAAATGAAGTTTAAATGCTGCATGTGTCAAATATTTGTGGTAACAATTTATTGTTCGAAATACGCAAGCTCTAAAGTGAATAATTCAAAAGATAGGATAATGCAGCAATCAATTTCATTTTACTTTTATTTCATTTCAGAATGAAATAGAATGAAATTTCAATCAGAATGAAATACTTCAAAAACGGACAAATGATATAATATACAAGGTGTCCCACAACTAGTGTAGATCCCTGAAATAAGGGGTAGCTGACGTGATTCTGAATAAGATTTCCCTTTGCAAAAATGGGGTTTGAAGCTTCGTTTTTGAATTATTAAGGAAAAACACGGACCAATCTGAGCGCGAGGATTACGCATGCGCAGACACGAAAGCGGCAGCTTTGGATAATTCGTAGTTATCCAACGCGTGGTAATCCAACGCGTAGTAATGCAACGCGTGGTAATCCTACGTATAGCAATCCAACGCGTAGTAATACAACGCGTAGTAATACAGCGTGTGGGTAACCAACGCGTAGTAATCTAGCACGTGCATATTCAACGCGTAGTAATCCAACGCGTAATAATGCAACACGTGGTAATTCTAAGCGTAGGAATTTAATGCGTGGTAATCTAACGCGTAGTAATCCAGCGTGTGGATATCTAACGCGTAGTAATCCAGCGCGTGGATATTCAACGCGAATTAGTCCAACGCGTAGTAATGCAACGCGTAGTAATTCTAAGCGTAGGAATCTAACGCGTGGTAATCTAACGCGTAGTTAACCAACGCGTAATAATCCTCTCGCTCTGATTGGTCCGTGTTTTTCCTCAATAATTGAAAAACGAAGCTTTAAACACCCTTTCCGCAAAGGAAAATCTTATTCAGAATCATGTCAGCTACTCCCCATTTCAGGCATCTACACTAGTTATGAGACATCCTATACATACTTTAAAATGAAAGAAATTCAAAAATTTCATTTTTTTTAGAGTTTGAAAAAATTTAACTACTACAAAGTTTCCGTTTCCATATACGGTAATATATCGCAAACCAGTTATAATGCATACTTTAAAAATAATTGGAGTATGCATAAAAAGAATTGTTCTACTACTTTCGAATGTGTTGCATGTTGATATTTCTATTTTAAACAAAAATACCAAAAATTCAAGGAAAACGTCCAAATTTAATTTTTCATTTCTCCACAATTCTCGGAAATTTCGCAACGAAGAAATTATTAACGTAATGCTCCTAATTAATGTAAATGATATCACTGTTAACACATGTATCGATCAACGATGCAGACAACGATAGATACGCAATGTCGAAATATAATTACACTTGGACGAAATGGAACGCATCGAATAATTCATTGATAGTAATTACGATTAAATTATTGGAAATTCGAGGACTGTATTTACTCGAACAACGTATTAAAACTCTTAAGTACAAGGGAGATTTAAATTTGAAAGCAATTTAAAGTTGAACGATAAAAGGAAAAGTTTGATTTATAATCGACTATTCGAGGAATCGGAAAACAATTTGAGAATAATCGCGCAAGATAAACGCTTGTACAATTAAAATTTAAAGAATTAGTTACTGTATCATTTCACGTAAGAGAAGTCTGCATTTTTAATAACGCATATAATGCGTTAGGTGTGACTCGAATTAAATGAAAATAACACCAATCGTTACTTTATAAGTAAAAAGCATTTAGTTAATTAAATCAGGTTTGTATTAGAGGTAAAACAACCTTGCTTTCATGATATTAAATTACTTTTTATGAACGAAGTAACTTCATAACTATGCAAAGAATATGACGATACTTTTTATTAATTTAATCCTTTACGCCCTTTAATTATAAGATATAAAAATTTAAAAGTCTAAGAATTTGAAAATTAAAGGTTGTTGCAGTTATAGGAATTTAGAAATTTGGAAATTTCAGAATTTGCAGACTTACAAATTAAGAATTTGAGAAAGTGAAAATTTAGAAACCTGGGGATGTAAAAATTGTAAAATGTGAGATTTTTGAGAGATTGAAGTTGTCGAAAGGGGTTTTCTAGAATCTAGAAATTTAAAATTCGAAAAATTCGAAAATTTTATTTGTAGTTTTAGGAGTTTAAAAATTTGGAAAATCCGGATTTAGATTTTAGATTAAAAAATTTACGAGATTGAAAAGTTAGAAAGTTGAAAATGTAAGGAATTGGAATTTTTTGATTTGGAGATTGTGATGACTTGTAAAACTTCTACAAGCATCATTTTTCTACCAAATTACCAGATGTGTTTAGAAATACCTCGCGACATGGTACACCGACTATAAAATATCTAAATTACCTCAACATAATTTTAATATCATAATTTCTCTTATTTCTAATTTTAGAAGTACCAACTACTATTCTCGTGGTTCTCAGTATTTTGTACGGAACTATATCCTTTTTGGCAGTGATTGGAAATTCCCTTGTCATGTGGATCGTTATTTCAACGAAACGTATGCAGAACGTGACAAATTTTTACATAGCCAATTTAGCACTGGCGGATATCGTTATTGGTATTTTCGCAATTCCTTTTCAGGTAAGAAACTCTATTTCTACGTTTCTATGGCTCATGATTAAATCTGTACCTGAAAATAGTAAAACTTCCAAAAATACGTCCGCTATTGACGTTTATTAATTATTCTCATGAAAAGCCATGATATTTGATGATGGAAAACCTTTCCAAATTGCTTACGCGCCAAGCTTTTATTGGCAAAAAGAGATTGCCAAGAAATTAATTATCGTGGAATTCTATTGGCATGATAGCTAAATTAACAGATTAATAAAGAATGCATAATTTAACGTACACATTTGTGTGTAGAAACCATTATGAATTCTTTATTAAAATAATGCATTATTGATCATCGCTTTTATTAAATAAACGCTGAGCAAGATCGATCTCTGCTCGACCGAAGATATGTATTCCTGCCAATTAATCATTTCGTTGTAGATAAATACCATCAATTAATGCGAGGAATAACTGTATTTAATGTTAACCAGTTGCTTCTGTATACACAGTATGTCGGAAAAGTAATGGAACATTTTAAATAAACAGAAAAGAATTAGTTACTGTGCCAAAATTAATTTTTTTTATTCAAAATACATCCCTTTCGCATCAATACGCCGCTGGCCACGCTCACACAACGTTAAAATAGATTTTTTTATGTCGTTTTGCGGAATCGCTTCAAACACCCTTGTCACAGCTGCTTGGACTTGTGTAACAGTGTCATAAAACATTCCTTTCATAGCTAATTTCAGTTTTGGAAAAAGGAAGCGTGGAGATAAGTTAGGCGAATTTGAAGGATGTTGGAGCACACAGACTTGTTTTTTCGCCAAAAATTCACGAACAGCGACAGTTCTGTGACATGGTGCGTTATCATGCAACAGAAACCAACTTCCCGGCGTTCAATATTCGGGCCTCACACGAACGATCCTCTTCCACAAATGTTCCATAACACCCAGATAATATTCGCCATTAACATTTTGTCCTTGTGGAACGAATTCCCGAAGTATAATTCCTTTAGAATCGTAAAAGCAAATTAACATTGTCTTCTCTCGGGACTTCTGGAATCGCAATCTTTTTGATTTTGGAAAGCCTGGAGATTTTCACGTAGCACTTTGGCGCTTTGTTTAAGGTTCATTCTTGAAGTACCAAGTCTCATTACTAGTTACAATTGATTCCAGGAATGTACAGTTTCGTCTGACTGTTTTGATGAGATCCTCACAATATTCAACGCGAGCGATTTGTTGCGCTTGCCCGTAATTTTGTGGCACAGTAGTGAAAGGTTCTATCGCATTAAACGCTATAAGTTTACAATTCGTTGTTCGATTCCAATGATGATTGTTGTGTTTTGTAGGGGAGGTATACTGTTTACAGATAACATATTGTTTTAATAGATGGCACTAGTAATTTTCCTTAAATTTAAAGAGTTCTGTTACTTTTCCGACATACTGTGCAATATTTGCAAATATTGTGATAATTAAAAACAGAAAGTTTACAGAGGAATTGTTATAATTTCATAAATATCGTAAAGTACATCATTACATAAACATTTTACTTTGATATTTTTCATTGAAAATTTTTCTAAATGTTAAATAATCATCTGTTTAAAAATATAACTCTGTTCCATGGATCACGTTTAAATCAATTTTATCAAATAAGAGTACTGCTTTTGTATTCTATATTTAATTTTGCAAAGATTGCATCGGAAAAATATTATTGTACAAAGTGAATAGTAAATGATAATTTATTTCATTTCTTTTCAAGTTCCATGCCGCTCTGCTTCAAAGGTGGAATCTCCCTTACTTTATGTGCGCTTTCTGCCCTTTTGTACAAGCGCTCTCTGTCAACGTTTCAGTTTTTACACTGACTGCGATTGCAGTTGATCGTCATCGAGCCATCTTAAAACCCCTCAGGTATGTTTGCTAAAAACTACTTAACATGTATTATCGAACCAATCAATACTGTAAGGCGAACGGAACGCTAAATTGTGTTCTGCGTTTTGCTCTACAAAACGTAACTAAAAGTATGTTTGATATTATACAATGAATAAACACAAAAGGATGGAAGATGAATAAGACATTATTTGAATATCTACATTCCAATTATGATGTACAAATTGGACAAAGGATCAAAACATAGTACAATACATAAATGAATTTAATTTTCATTTCATCGTCCATTTATTTGGTTAGTCGTATGTCTCTTCATTTTTACGAATGAAAAATTGTTCAGGCAGTCAAAAGAAGACAAATTTGTTTTGCTTTCATCTCATTTAGACGGAACGCTTTACTTCTCAAATATTACATTTTTCTGTTCAGCGCAAAACCAAGGAAATTGACCGCCAAAATTATCGTCGCTGGAATTTGGTTTCTTGCTGTGTGTTTGGCTGCGCCAATGGCAATTGCACGTAGAGTTGTGATGGAGCCAGAAGGTCCTTGTAACAAATTCAATTACTGATACAAGCATCAATCAAATATAAGCCAAAATCAGTCATGAGTTTTCTCTGAATAATTTTCATAGGTCAGTGAATTCGTCTCGAAATGAACTGCAAACCTAACTAAACGAAAAATGATACCTCAGAAGATAATCTGTGAATAAAAAGCAATCTCAGCTAGATAATATCTGTGTTCATAATAACATGAAAGTACTAGATAATAGAAACTGTTGCTTGATTATTTCAATAATAATTTAGTAAATTGTCTTCAAATATGACATTCTGTATGTTACTAATTCTAATGTTCCTTAAAGGCCCATTCTTTGCAATTTATCGAGATCTTATGCATGTCAACAGCCAATAGTCTTTATGGCATCTGATGTAACTTTCTTCAAAGATTTATAACATACTATCATTTTGGTTTATATTTGATTGATACATTTGATCCAAGATTTAATAACGAAATGTGCGTTCGATCGTTTTCTTTTCAACAGGTCGAGGTCGATATAAACCGTTCTGTAAGGAAGTAAATATGTCCAAATCTTCAATATTAATTTACTCAGCGATATTATTTTTTATGCAATATCTAACACCTCTCTCAGTCATTTCTTGCGCATACGTGAGAATGGCATTAAAATTGTGGAGCAATAAAGCACCAGGAAACGCTGAAGATTCTCGAGACGCAACTTTAATGAGGAACAAAATGAGGGTAAGATCAAATTAGTAAAGACACACTCTACATTTGTATTATTCATCTAATTTTTAAGTTCGTTTGATTTCAGGTAATCAAAATGTTAATTATAGTTGTAGCACTATTCGCAATATGTTGGCTGCCGCTTCAAACGTATAACTTCTTTCGATATTTTTATCCACAGATTAACCAGTAAGTATAACATTATTTTTTATATGGAAGGTCAAGATCTGTTGATACAATAAAAATGGTTTCTCTTAAAAATGGTATTCTGTAAATTGGTCAAATAATCCCAAAATTCTTGTCAAAAATGTACTATCAATTCTTACTTTTCTATAGAATTTGTTATAATTATGTACTAGTCACTGTAATCATATGTTTATGAACTACAGAATGTTATCTGTAATACTACATATGATTTTTCTCCCACTTGCAGCCACCTTACGAAAAAAAGTTCAGAACAATATTTGCAAGGTATGAAGTAAACAATAGATTAGTAAAGGAAATTTTGAAAACAGTTTGTTCTCTTGGCAAAGTCAAGGTCACCTTGGGTTTTTTTTAAATAGGAACATACATTTTTTTTATTCATAGCATTAGAGAACATCGAGACGAAATCAAAACACATATTACATAATATTTTTATTAACATATTACTCGATTTACAGAAGAAAAAATGTGAAGTACATAGCTTTTGACTTTGGTAGTGAAACCATTGTTCGATTCCGAAGAGATTACTGAATGTAACCACATGACTAGAATGAATACACTTTATTTAATTACATGTTCAAAATGTATGGCGCCTTCCTTCACGTAATATTCCAGTCTTTTACTTCACACTTCCACTTCTGTAAATAAAAATATCATGTAATATGTGTTTTGAATTCGTCTCGATGCCCTCTAAAGCTATGAATAAGAAAATGTATGTTCCTATTTAAAAAACCCAAGGTGACCTTGACTTTGCCAAGAGAACAAACTGTTTTCAAAATTTGCTTTACTAATCTATTGTTCACTTCATGCCTTGCAAATATTGTTGTAAACTTTTTTTCGTAAGGTGGCTGCAAGTGGAGAAAAATCGTGAGTAGCGTTACAGGTAACACCCTGTATACTCCATACAATGTTATAACAAAATTCGTTACGTTACAAGTAACGCCCTATATATTCGTTACAATATAGATATTAATATTAACTAGAACACTATACATATTTTTAAATGTAGAAGAACACATTTTTTACGTTTTCCCTTTTCTGTCGTTATTTCTCTGTATATTTGTGTACATAATAACCTCGACTTGAAAATGATGTCAATATCGTATAACAAAAGAATAAACTGTATATGTAATAAACAGAAAAACAAAATTAAAATTGCAGATATGAGTACATCCATTACATATTCTTCTCGTCCGACTGGCTGGCTATGTCAAACAGCTGCTACAACCCATTTATTTACGGAATATATAACGTAAGTATTAGTCAACGCTACTAAAATTTGGAAAATTATAAAATTAGTTTGACAGTTAAAAAGTTGGAAATTTAGAAACTAAAAAGTTCAGAAATTTAGAAATTAATAATACAGGAATTTTAATATAAAATATGAATACATTTTAAAACTTCAAATTTTCCAACTAACAAATATGAAAATGAATAAATAGAGAAATTACAGCTTTTCAAACTTAGAGACGTAATAATTTGGTAATTTATCAATGTCATTAATAACGCATTATTATGTGACTAAAGCATCATTTTATTAAAGGAAAACTTCAGAAGGGAATTTCAACAAAAATGTTCATGTATATTTCAAAGACGGTTAAACAATACAGCAGGCGATAACGTAGACACGGATAAGACGCAAAGTAGCCGAACCTCAGTCAGGTATGCTTTTTAATATCTGCTTATACACCTTTTTAATATCTCCTTATATTACATGACGCGAACATTTCGTGGTAACTAAATTTTCAAACGAACGTTAACATAAATTAACAATTTCATGTTTGCGCACTCAAATATTTGACTGAAAATAAATCGAAACCACTTAATCATTTGCTTTTAATTAAAAATACATCGTTTTATTTTATACGGAAAAACAATTGTTCGATGGACGAATTTCTGAATGAATATCGATAACAAACGTTTTATTATTGAAAGCGTTTCCCAAGCGTTATACTTCAAAAAATATTTCATCAAAAAAACTTTTATTAACAGAATTCAATTGATACAGTTTCAAAATGTTCATATCGCAGGTATGAATGGAAACGAACAATTTCTAGCAGTTATCCAGTTGTTTCAGCATGTTACAAAGGCGCTACAAGAGAAGAGCCTAATGAATCGCTTATCGGCGAGCATCAAACGAGTGCGCGAAATAAAAAAGGTATTGGCTATTACATTCGTAGTAGAAATCACTGTTCGTTACCATCGAACAGAAACGAGGAATTATCTGTATTTCCGACGCGGAAGCTCAAACATGTTGAAGATTCAGGAGTGAAAGAATTATGTTTGTAATGATAGAAATTAAACGAATCAATTATTTATGCGAGTAACGTAGGAAGATCCTCTTTACCTACACCGTGAAGTTATCACGATTAATTTTATGCAAACGAAGGGACGATTCATTTTCTGCACGACGAAAGAAATTTTAACTCTTCCGGGGCGTATAATAATTCTTGCGACTCTCAAGAATGTGTGCTTTAATTTCATTGGAATTTCTTTCTTATTTTTTAACTACTTACAAATCTTAACATTTTCGCTACCATAAAAGACTATAATCACTGATGGAATCAAAAGATTTACATTTAAAAATAACAAGTTTACATTTAAATTGCATTTTTATATTACAATTGAAAGTGCAAATGTGTGTACTAAAAAGTATCATATTGCAAATTTTATGCATGTCGAATATTGAATTAGTTAATTGAGTATTAAATATATAAATGTTTGATCAAAATGTTGTCTTCAGAGACAACCTTGGCAAAAGGGTTACAGAGAGAGAAAGATTAACTATCGACGTAAATTTTCTGTGGAATCCATAAATATATCTATTCTCTCTCGTAAATAATATCTCTAACCATTGCTCAAACTTTTTAGCTGTACCTTTTCAATGTCCGAACTTAACTGTCCGAAATTTCAAAGAACATTTGTCTGAAACTTATCATTGATGTGTAAATATGCGTATCATGTACTATCTATATGTCATTTTTTTAATTAATCTCCTTACAATTGATAAAAAAAGGACTTACAATTATAGAACACTTAATGAGAATGAAATTTTACCGTTTAAATGAAAGCAAAATGTAACAAGAATATGTAAAAATAATTGTGTAATTAGAACAATTAACATACTATTATTGAAATTTATTATTTTACGATGAACTCGATTTTGTTTATTAAGATACTACATTGATTAAGGGACACAGTTATCAAACTGATTGTAGAATATCTACAGAATAAGTATGGCTGTGAAATTTTTATTAAAATAATGACTTTCAACCCACGTGAAAGTTTTATACAAGTTAATTGTTATAAGTTTAAAATGTTTCCTGTGTAAAGAGGCTTTATTTTGAAACAAACAAAATAGTTCCTTATAAAGTTATAAAAATTAGTTTGGATAGTTTTGAAAAGCTGTAATATTAATATAGAACATTTTTGTAAATATGAAACTTTCTTTTTTATTACCGAAAATATTTTGTTTTAGCTTGAATAAGATGACTTTTATTATAATAAAATGTATTGTTAAAAATTATATTTTTAATTTGACGAAGTTAAAATTAATAAAGAATTAAAAATGTTGAAAATTATACTACGGTAAAAAACTATATGTATTTACATGTTATAGAAATAAGAGCACAGAATAATTTATTTATGGCATAATGTATTATGTGTGTCCATCAATGTATTACTGTTGACAATGTATACGTATATTATATGAAATTATAACAAACAGGGTAATTAAAATCTCAAATAACTAGAAATACGAATAAATTACAAATAAAATAGACATAATGCATTACTGTTCAAATATAAACAATTGCTAATTATTGCAAGTAATGTATTAAACACATATAAGAAATATTTCTAGTCAATAAGGAAGTGTTTGTTCAAAAACAGCAAAGTGGATAACAATGTGTAATAATATAATTATTCTTGACAAAAATTATGTATTTATGTATAAAAGTGTTATTGTGTTATGATAAAATTTTATTTCTTAATACAACCAATTTTTATTTAAATAAAAGATAATGAAATACAAATCATTATAAAATATTGGAAAATTTGTATGTACATAATTACCTTCCTTACAAAAATTAAACAATGCAGTAATATTGTTTCCTATAATTTCTATTCCAGCTCCTTCATTGCATTAGTATTTTATTTAAAAAAACAGAAATACAAATAGAATATCAAGTACTTTATTAAAAACATGTACAAAACTACATTATTTAATTGATACAATTATTTTGAGAGATTAAAATATTGCTAATAATATAATACCATTTATAAAAATGATAAAAATTATCTAGTTAGTAAATATAAAAAATAAAGTTCTAGTCCATTTTAATTATTAGGTATAATTAGTTTGATAAGCTTATTACACTAATCAAAGTTCATGTTATTGCGGCGTTCTATATCTTTAATTTCTAACATATCTGTCTTAAGATGCAGTTTCATAATTTCTCGCCAAATATCCATTCTGTGTTGTTCATTGTCAATTCCAAGCCTCAATAAAATATTTTCATTTATTCTTAGCAAAACTCGTCCTGTGATATCATGCTTAAATAAACATCAGTAACATTGACCATGTTAGAGGTACAAAAATGCAATAGAAACATATATCTATGCCGCAGACCTTAAATCAATAAGATACTTACATATAAAAATTTCTCATGGTATAATTGATAATAATCGCTACAATGTCTCCTTAACCATTTTTGTACATCTAACACATTCCACAAATAAACTGGGCGAGGTCGTGCAGTTTTATTCTGCAATTTTTTTATATGTATTTTGTTAATGTAATATTAATTTATTATAGTCAGTTTCTTGTTAACATAAAGGCTGCTCTACATGCTGATTCTAGCATTAATGTATGCTGCTTCCAAATCTAATATGCAAATGGAATCTACATATACTACGATTTGCATCGTAAAGCTTGGCAGTTAGTGCATGAATTGAACATGTTTCAGTGTATAGAACAGCCTTAAGCTGACTTATACCAACAGTCAATGACTAATACATTCACATACCTTTGGCTTATTAGTAGAATTTACTACTTCTTCTACCATTATAATTCAAAATACAAAATTATAACAAGTACACATAAATTAAAAAAACTTGTAATTAATAGTATGTAAATAAAAGCAGTAAAAGTATTCTATACAGATTATTTGCATCCATTACATGTACAGGTTACAAATATTGCAACATCATAAATTTCATAAAGTGTAAAAAATATGAATACCATTTAAATTTTTATGATATAAATGCACTAAATTACGCCGTAAAAATCCAATGCACAAAAGTGGTGCAAAAACAATTCAAGATGTTTGTCATCATAATATTAATGTGTGTCATAGCATTACATCAAGTATCGCCATTTTACTACCAGGCAGGGTATGCATTACAAAAAGTTACTAAAGTTAAGAAACTACGTAAAATATCCTTTTGTAATCCAATTGATGATGAAACTTGTATTTCTAAAACTTCATGTATAACATGACTAGTAATCTTTTCTTTTGTATACTTCCCATACCATCAATTCTTTTCCTTATTCACATATTTTTGGCCACTATGACCCGATTTGAACCCTCGATGGAAACGTAGTCTATAAGGGACAACTCCAAGTAAAAATGGGCCAACTGAAGTTAACTGAGTTGCGTGTAGCAAGCATGTTCTGTCGTTGAACAAGCCATACTGTATTATTTTATGTTTTTCTTGTCTATATACATATTTCTATATACAATGTCTGACAGTTGTAGGTTATTATATGCATAACAATTAATTAAAATGTTGAATGGTGAAGTTAATAATTTGTTAAAATAACTGACCAAAAAGGTGGTACCGTATTTGTAAAATTATGTGCACAATATAATACATTGAAACTATGGAAAACAAGACTCAAACACAACAAGATGACAATAGTGAGAAGCTTATTTTACTTTGCAAAATTTAGAATACACAGAAAATAAAATTAAATATATAATTACAGAGACTGACAATGCTATTACTAAAAATACCATTCCATTAATAAAGGATTTATTTCATGTGCATGGAAAAGTTGGGGAAGGGACTTTCAGTTCTGTGTTTTTAGCTACTTTAAAATCTTCTGATGGTTCTAAAAAATTTGCATTAAAATATTTAGTTCCTACTCGACATCCTGAAAAGATTGAACGAGAATTACAATGTATGCAACAGATAGGGTAATATAAATTTGTAATATTGATTATTAATGTATAAAATATATAAAAAATGTCATTAATTAATATATAAAAAAATCTTATTTTAGAGGAAAAGACTATGTGGTTGGTTTAGAATTATGTTTACGTAGTTTTGAAACAGTGATATTTGTGATGCCATATATGAGACATGATAAATTTTCGGTAAAATGCTTTTATATTCACATTTAAATTATTTTTTAATGATCTTATAATTTTGTTGTTAATGATTTTAAATAGGAATATGTACAGAATATGACTGTTCAAGAAACAAAAGATTATATGACAGCATTATTGACTGCATTAAGAAGGGTTCATCAATTTAATATTATACACAGGGATGTAAAGCCCAGTAACTTTTTGTATGATAGATGCAATAGAAGGTGAATATAAATAAATTATTGCAATATAGTATTACGATAATATACAATTTATACCATTTTTTTTTATTTATAGGTACTTATTAGTGGATTTTGGATTAGCACAAGAATATGTACCAGAGGAAAAACCTAAACATCATAAATTAATTAACTCCGATGTGCAATCTGTTAAGCGGAAAAAATCAGATGAAGTATTAATTATTTGCAATAATAAAGAATATATTTCTATGAAGTAATGTTCATTATATATTTTTAATATGTGTTAAATATATGTTTTTAGAATAATTTAAATTTTTCTCTCAGTACGAGAAAAAAAGTTACAGGAGAAAAATGTTGTTGTTTTGGAAAACCAAAAATATGTTCATTATGCACATCAAGACCAGAACAGACAGCTCCAAGAGCTGGTACACCAGGATTTCGTGCTCCTGAAGTTTTATTGAAGTATCCTTCTCAAACACCGGCAATTGATATCTGGGCATGTGGAGTGATGATGCTATGCATTCTTAGTGGTACTCAACCATTTTTTCATTCTCCAGATGATTGCACAGCTTTGGCAGAAATAACAACTATATTTGGGTCTAATAAAATGCAACAGTGTGCACAAAAATTAGGTATAAAATATAACTGTTTTTTGAATTCATATTTTAAGGCACTTCAATTTTTTTATTTATTTTTTTTTACTTACAAATTTTATTTATTTTTCATACTTTGAACATTTTGTTTACTAATTCAGGAAAAAAAATTATCTTTAGCGAAGAAATACCCGGAATTGATATTGTGTCCTTATGTCAGAAATTACAAAAAAGAAATAAGAGTTTATTAAATAATAGCAATCATAATTTGTATGAAAAGGTATTTTTTAATTTATCATTTATTTTTAAATGTTATTATAAAATTACAATAAAATATAAAAATTATTTGTAAATAACAGTGCTTAGAACTATATATCAAATAAATATTTATTAAACGTTTTAAGGTATCATCGGGCAATCAATTTCCGAAAGAAGCTTATCACCTTTTGTTGAGTTTGTTGGATTTAGACCACAAAACACGGTTTACTGCAGATCAAGCTTTAAATCATCCATTTTTTAAATCATAATATGTATTTATCAGAATGAAAAATAACGCTAAGCTTACTATTTTTTTATTAATTGGTATTGAAAAGATATATTAAATGAACTTTGTACATATACATATATTTTGTATACAACCATATATAATACATAATTACTTATACAAAATAAATAGTTTTCAAACATTAAGTAAGTAAGTAATGTGTTATGCAACAATATTGTATAATATTAAGTTGTTAATAAATGCAATATTTTTATAACTTATCTATATCTAAAAAGGGAAATACTTAAATACATATTGAGTCTTTTGACTATGCTATTTACTATGAAAGACAAGGCACTTAGTCACATAAAATATATTGTTATTGCACACTTTATAAATTAGCGTATACTGATATTTATTCAACAGTTTCCAAAGTACTTGTATTTGCCGATGTTTGGTTGTCACTTTCATATTTCCTAATCAGTTCCCATTTGGATGCAGCTTCTAATGCCTCAGCTGCTAGTTTCTTTACTTGTTTATTTTCTACTGTATCACTTTTTGTTAGAGCCATTAAAATTTCCATAACATCAGTTTCAATTAATCTTGCTGCAACATCCTTTGTACTTTTAATCATGTTTGAGACAATAACAACTCCTCTATGTTGTAAATCAGCATTAGGATTAGCAAGTAGAAAACGTAATGATTCTAACCAGTCTTTCGAATCAAATATTTTTATACAAGATTTAATACTGGTTGATGTCAGCATTGCTAGGGCTCCTGCTGCTGCCATGCTTGTTTCTGTATCTTCGTCCGCGCAAAGAATTACCAAATATTTAACTCTGTCATTTTCTTGTTCGTAGTATTTTATAGTATCTTCGCACATCATTAAATTATTTACAACTTGAACAGATGCACGTTTTAACATTTCATGATCTTCGTACATATAATTCTCAACTTTCTGGAAACCTCCTTCTTTCAATATTCGTTTTCTAACGTTATCATTGACACCGGCTAGATTACACAAAGCCATTAAAGCTTCAAAATTTTCAAGTGCACAACATTCTGGATTCAAAAGATTTACAAATGGCCGAACTACTTCCATTATTCTTTGTCCAGGAAATGCAACTTCTGGATTTATCGTAATTCCTAAACGCGCAAGAGCTTGCGATGCTTGCTTTTTTCCCTTATCTGTTCCGTCTAAAGCTAATGGTAACAGTGCCTTTGCTCCACCTTGTTGTACAACGATTCCTCGTACTTCATGTTGACTGCAAATTGCATTAAAAACACGTGCAATCAACTCTTTACTATTTTGACTTTCTGTTTTAGACAGTGCAACCAGTGCACTTGTTACACCAGCCTTAGCTAGTGTGATTATTCTCTTGTTTACGAAATCTATATCATCAAGCTCATGTTCTTCGGGTATATGATGTTTTGCAAATTTAGCTAATTCTATCATTTCCGGTATAAGTTCTTGTTTATCATAAGCATTACACAAATTTACCAATGTTGTAACAACACCATAAAGTACTGATTGATCTCCAGTTTTAGCAACTTCAATCATTGCTTGAATCGCTTCTTTGTCTTCGATTAATTTTTCTTTAACTTCAGCATCGAACGTAAGATACGACAATCCTTCTACTGCCCATTTTCTCATATCTTTTTGTTTCTTAGGGTTAATTAAGAATCTTCTACAAGCTTCAGCCAATTTCTTCGTTGCTCCGTCAGCAAATGGCCTTATTGTGGCATCTGTACCACCTGAACTGCCCAATTTACACAATCCTACCAAAGCACGTACTCTGATAGAATCATCTTTGGATTGGTACAATTTTTTTAATATATTCACGCCTTGATTTATAATCGCAGTTGCTTTATCCTTTTTCGATGCAGCAGCGACAATACATTCGCAAGCAACCTTTTGTTGCAATATATCATCTGTGCCTGCCATAACAAGTATCATTTCTAAGATACCTTCTTTAGCAATTATCGCATTTCCAACATCCAATGGACCAAGTAGTAAGGTTGTTAATGCAACTACAACACGAACCTGTTTAAAAAACAATAAAATTTCTGTTAAGTACCATAAAAGAGATTCTTATTATATTATAATAATGTACGAATAGTAATTACCTTAGACTCTATATCTGGTGTAAGCAATTTATCTTTAATATACTCATCAATAGCAGTTCTAAATTTATCTTTCGCTGCATCATAATACATATTTTCATAAATCCTTGCCAAACAGACACTAGTTACAGTTCTAGTAGACGGAGTAATGTCCATGGCAGATTCATATTTGTATTCTTCAAGCTCACTCGCTACTTCCATTAAACGTTGCAAACCACGAAGTTCGACCAACCGTTCTGCCCAATTTAACGCGGTATAATGAATATTTCGCATAATAAGTTCTATAATTGCATCTCTAGCTAATCCAGAAATTGTTCTGCTTGTTGTGCTGTACAATAAACAAGATAAGATCGTATCAATCTCCTTATTATATTTATCACATAATTCTTTTTTTGGTTTTGAATCTGGTTTATTCTCCATTCCACTGTAGGTATTAAGTATAGTCTGTAACATAGTTTTGAATCTAGTTAGTAATAATAATTATTTCTACAGTAATAATAAATTTTTATATCTACTAGATATATATACCGACCTGTAAACAATATTGAGCAGCATTTACCCTTTCTGAAATTTTACTGTTAATCATTTCTAAACACCAAGGTATTCCTATATCTTTTAGAATTTTTTCAGTTCGATCAATATGATCTTTACATAATTCTGCAATGATTCGAATTGCGATTGTTATTATTTCTTCATTTTTCTCAAGTTTGAGCATCTTAATTATTTTAGAAACAATTCCATCACTAAACATCACTTCTGCTCCTGCTCTTTCACGAGCAAGAACAAGTAAATTATTCATAGCTGTTTCCCGTTTTTCATTATCCCCTTTCATTTCAAAAGCTATATCCATCATTTGTGATACCTATAAACATATAGTTGTAAAATAATTATAATATACATACAGATGTTTTTCAATTACTTCCATATTTTTCTGGAAGATTTTATAATTAGTCCAACATATTACATAATTAATAATGATATACAAACCTTGGCACTGACACGAGAGTTTTGCCTGTATCTTTCTTGAACAATTTCATGCAGTCTTGCAGCTATAGGTTGAATTGCTTTATTGCCAGGATCAGCTGAAATTATATATCTTGCATCACGATATGCTTCCTCATATCTTTCTAATGCATCCAATGCTTGACATCTACGAAACAATGCCTTAGGATCATTTGGACATATTTTAAGTGCTTCATCGCAATCTTTAATTGCTTTATTGTATTCTGCTTGTTTTAGATATGCAGCAGCACGATTCTTATAATATATTGCTTTTTCAGAATTTTCTTCATTTGTAAGCTTTAGTGCATTTGTATAACAGCTCAAAGCTTCTGCCCAATTTCCTTTATTAAATTCTGCATTGCCCTTCTCCTTCCATTCATGTGCACTTATATTTGTTGTTTTTGTCATGATGAACTTTTTAACTCAAAAATATCTGTAATAAAGAACAAATTTTAAACAGACATGCATTATACAAAATAATACATTTTATAACTTCAATGTTAAACTATATAAGGTATCTTATTTTTTTTCATGCACTTCAAGAGCTTAATCTATAGATAATAGTTAGAAAATAATAATATGTAAAGTTTGTCAATAATACTTTAATACAAAATTACAAAAATATCCTGTATGCATGAAATAGGCATTAACATTTTATGATAAATTTGAGGTATTCCACTGAACAGATATCAACCTATTCTTTGTAAGAAAATGTTTTTTCTAACACAAAATAAAACAGTTCAAAATTAATAAAATAAAATAGTTAAAAAATTAATCATTTACTAATAAATTTTGTAAGACATTTGTTTATTTTTACACATAAATTAAATCATCACAGTTTACTGAGAAAAAACTGGAGTATCTGTATATCTGAATTAATTCATGTTAAGCATTAAATAAACATGCTCTTTAAATTAATGATTTAAATTACTTAAAAAGATTATGAACAATATTAATAAAATACTTACTAAACAATGATTATTATTTATTGTATCAAATTCTTAAACGTATTGAAGATTCACTTGCTGAATGTAGGTTAACAGCAGCTCTTCCCAAAAACTGCAACGCGATACTGAGACTGGTGCCGCTTCCACATCGTATTAAAAAAGACATAGAACTGCCCAGACGTTACTAGATTGTTCATCGTTTATTTTAAGCTGTTTATTTCACAGATTGGATAAAAATACCGTCGTTGGGTAAAAATAGGACCATGCTACTTAGTGCATATATGTAAGAATGTATACAATTTCATGGAAGAATGGAACCGTTTCGCGCAGCTCAACTGAGCTGAGAAAGCTTCTACAATCTGTGCTGCCACAACGTGATACATTTTTCATTTATACAGTAGACAAAATGTATGTACCTAGAGTTCAATTCTTAGAATGAAGAAGATATACAAAATAAAGGACCACTAAATGGATTGTTCGGTCTTAGAAATATCATAAATGCGCATGCGTGTTATAAAATTTGTAGAACAAGATGCACACAACGAACGAAAATTACTCGTTCGGTAGCCTGTTCTCCAAATAAAATTGAGTGTTAGGTAGAGTCTACTTTGTGAGTTAGATTAGGTTCAAAATTAATGATTTATACATTAATGATGTATTTCGCGTTAAATTAGGCTTGAGTTAGATTAGAAAAGTGTTAGAATGAATTAGGAACACTAATCTAACGGTATTTTATCCAAAAATTACTGCAGAGAAGAAATTCTGGAAGATTCTGGAATTTTTGCAAGTGTTTCGTGTTAGATTAGGTTTAGATTAAGTTAGGAGAGGATTTGCATGGATTTGGAACGCTAACTTAATTATTCTTGTTCTGTGATGTAATTTGATGCATTTGGAAGGTAATTAAACCAATGTAATCATTATTTGAATTTTTTCAAAAATTGAACATGTGGTGCCATCTCTTCGGCGAACAGAGTGAAGTACACACTTTTGAAACTGTAGTTTATTTAGTTCTTACATTCTACCGCAAAGTGGCACCACATAAGCCGGAAATGTAGAGTTCTTCTCTGTATTTTACAGAACCCTACTCTTTCGACGTGAAAAGGCAAAAATGAATTGAATTCTGCACTTGAATTTTATAGTTTATTATTTATAATATTTATTATTTATAATTATTTATTATTAATACAAAATATAATCGCGCATTTATTCAATTGTTGCACGTCCCACGAGAGAATGGGATTTTTTACGCGCCAAAATGCACTTTTGGCGGGACATTAAATCGGATGTGTCGTCATAGGAGGTATGGTGATCATCAGTCAGTCAAGTGCCGTGTGTTAAAAAGAGACCTGTTATTAAAGCCGTTGGACATGAAGAGTTCTGTTTGCATTTGTGAAGAAGCGTTTAAAGGTATTGTCGCTTGGTCGTATTCAATATTATTTAAAAAAACAAAATCATTCACTATTTATTCGGTAATTAAACATTCACTCAAGAACGAGTGTTAAAATAAGAGGCAGAATCAATTTCGATAAAATTAGTTACTTTTATGAAATCATAAATTGATTATACTAGGTCTGTTTGATTGAGGCGCTCCACGCCTAATCTAACAGTGTTGAGCGAGCGAGTAAATTTCACGCTAAAGCAAAAATATTCAACCGTGTCATCCGGTTGAATTGGTTGAATGGTGTAAAAGGAAAACGTAGACAAAAAAGTTGAAAAGTCAAGTACACAAACGCGAACAAATTCAATTTTGCATTAGAGTCTACGGAGATATCGTTTTTCGGTGATTATTCCTCCGTGACATGCGCGGGCGGCGCGCAGGAGGAATATACACGATATTGAGTATGCAAAATCGTTAATTACTCACTTTCTGAGCACAGTCTATGAACTTTTATGATTAAAAAATGTTCAGTGATTTCCTAGCTACTTTCTCATATCACATACGTTCACATTTTTATTGTAAATAATTAGTTATTAATTAATATCCAACACGAAGTCGGCGGAATACATCGTCCGCATGAGCTAATATGAAATAATTAACAACACATTTTCTAAACACAGTTTATGCACTTTTATTACAAAAGAATGTTCAGTGATCCCTCAGCTACTTTCTCGTATCATATTTGTTTAAATTTTTAATGAAATTAATTAGTTATTAACTAATAACCTAAGGCCAGCGTACTTATTCCTCCGTGGCATGCGCGGGCGGCGCGTAGGAGGAATATACACAACAATGAGTATGCAAAATCGTTAATTACTCACTTTTTGAGCACAGTTTATGAACTTTTATGATTAAAGAATGGTCAGCAATGCATTATTTACATGGTTCGATAATAAAAGTTCATAAATAACGTTCGGGTAATGAGTAATTAATTATTTTGTGTCAGCATTCCGATATGTACTTGAGCCGCCTATGTCAACTCTTCTGCGCATGCAAAGTGCAATATTTCGGCACTTTGGCGACGTAGTATGGTTCCTAAGGCATTTAGAAACAAATTTCTATTAGGGTTTGATGCGTTTTGATGCATAATAAAGCCAGGAAATGAATTTTTGTCGAATTCGGTCCAAAACGGTACAGGTGGCGCCATGTAGCGGCGAGCGGCGGAACTACGAGAAACTAAAATTTCGATTTTCTCGAAAATTAGGGACTTTTCCGAAATTCTGAGATATACAAATT